GGAACAAGACAATAATAAAGGAAAGAATGAAGGAGAGAAAAATAAACGACACAAGAATTTTAACGTGGTTCGGCTAAAATATGTATGCCTACGTCCACGACTACACTAGGAAGTATTTTTTATTTCTGTGTGTATCTCAAACTTTACATAGGGTTGCTTATATAACAAAATAGAGAACCTCATCTCACAATCCTAATCGATGTGGGACTAAATCAAGCACCATAATACTAACAATTCTCCCACTTGGAGTTTGATTTACGTTACCACCTAGTGTAGTGCCTTCATCATCAATTTGCTCGAAGGCCAGTTGAGGCAATGCAAAGCCTCAACTTAGTTGTTGTAACAGTCTTGGTCAACATATCAGCGGATTCTCTGCACCTGGAATCTTCAACAAACTCAAGTCTCCATCATTTATCGTGTTTCGATAAAATGATACTTCAATTCAATGTGCTTACATCTGGAATGAAGGATTGGATTTTTAGCAAGACAAATAGCACTTTGACTGTCACTAAACAACGGAGAACCATCTTGTTCTCTTCCTAATTCTTTTAGAAGGTTCTTCAACCATATCATCTTCTTTGCTGCTTCCGAGATAGCTACATACTCGCTTCAGTGGTTGAGAGAGAGACCCTTCCTTGAAGTTTAGACTTCCAACCGATAGCTGTACCACCCAATGTAAAAATATAACCTCGTTGTGCTCTTTCTACCGTCAAGATCACCTCCCAAGTCTCGCATCGAAAACCCCTGTAAAATGAGATTACTTCTCTTGAAAGACAAATGCATCTTTGAAGTGCCTTTCAAATATCTCGAATATCCACTTCACTCCTTCCCAATGCTCCTTTCCGGGATTTGATAGAAATCTGCTCACAACTCCCACTCGCATGTGCTATGTCCGGTCCGGTGCAAACCATAGCATACATCAAGCTTCCTACCTGCAGATGCATATGGCACTTTAGACATGTGACTTTCTTCTTCTTCTCGTTTGAGAAGATTGCCTCTTTGAAAACTTTAAGTGAGTTCCCAAAGGTGTATTCCTGGTTTTAGCATTCCCAACATTGAATCTGCTAAGCAATTTTTCTATATATTTTTCTTGAGATAAGTTCAAAATACCTTTATCTCTATCTCGGGAGATTCTCATACCAAGAATTTGCTTGGCTGGACCAAGATCCTTCATTTCAAAGCTCTCTGACAATTGTTTCTTCAACTTGTCAATTTCTGCCATATTAGCTCCAACAATCAACATGTCGTCAACATATAAGGCAAGAATGATATAGCTATCAACATATTTCTTCACATAACAACAGTGATCTTCTTCACATCTGCGAAATCCCGAGTTTCTCATAAACTCATTAAACTTCTTGTACCATTGTCTCGGCGCTTGTTTTAATCCGTACAAACTTTTATGAAGCTTGCATACAAGATTTTCTCCGCCTTGTACTTCAAAACCTTTTGGTCGTGTCATAAAAATTTCCTCTTCAAGATCCCCATGTAAGAATGCAGCTTTGACATCTAACCGCTCCAAATGAAGATTTTCTCATAGCCTACTATACTCAAGATAACTCGATGGTAGTCATCTTGACAACAGGAGAGAAAATTTCTGTGAAGTCAATTCCTTGTCTTTGTTGGAACCCTTTCACTACGAGTCTAGCCTTATATCTTTTGCCGCCATCCGGTTCTTCTTTCAACCTATAGACCCACCTGTTTTGCAAAACTTTCTTTCCTTCTGGTAGCTTGGTTAAAGACCATGTTTTATTCTTCCGAAGGGACTTTATCTCATCTTCCATTGCTAGCTCCCACTTAATAGATTCATCTCCTCGCATAGCCTCAGCAAAATGCTCCGGCTCACCAACATCGATCAACAACAAATAATGCAATGAAGGGGAATACCTTTGTGGTGCTACAATTGTTCTGCTAGATCTTCTAACCAAGATTTCGGGAGTTGCTGACTCTACTATTTGTTCAGGTTCCGTCTCGGGCTCGACATAGGCTCTACTTGTATATTCTCGCCTTCGGTTGACTACATCACTTTCTCGAAATTTCTTCTAATGATACTTGCTCTAGTTGTTTATTTACATTTGCGGATTCTCGCAATCTCGTCTCTATAGAACATGTTTTCATTAAAAGTAACATTTCTACTTCGATAATTTTCTTGTTTTGGTCATCCCAAAACCCGTAGCCAAACATGTCAGATCCATAACCAATGAAATAACAACGTTTTGCCTTAGGGTCCAATTTATCTCTACTATTAGAGTCTAACATAACATATGAAGCACAACCAAAAACTTTCATATGTGAAAGATTTACCTCTTTTCCGGACCATACTTCTTCGGGTAACTTATAGTCTAAAGGAACTGATGGTCCTCTGTTTATGAGATAGGCCGTCGTGTTTATTGCATCTCGCCCAAAATACCTTGGGTAATCCTCGACTGGATTCTCATACATCTTGCTCTCTCATTCAAGGTTCTGTTCATTCTTTCCGCCACACCGTTTTGTTCTCGTGTTCCTGGAACTGTCTTGATCATTCCGATCCCATTCTCTCGAACAAAACTCCTTGAATTGACTACCTGTCATATTCTCCACCATTATCAGACTTCAAACATTTGACCTTTAAACCTGTTTGAGTCTCAACCTCCTTTTTCCACCTTTTAAACACGAAAACACATCGATTTATTTTTAAGAAAATAAACCCATACCTTTCTTGTAGAGTCATCAATGAAGGTTACATAATATTGTGAACCTCCAAGGGATTTCACCGAAGCTGGCCCCCAAACATCTCGTATGCACTAGTTCTAGTCTTTCAACTTTAGACGACTTACTTGTTTTTTAGAAGCTAACATTTTTCTCGCTTTCCAAAGATACAATGTTCGCAAGGTCCAACGTCAACATGCTTCACGTTAGGTATTTTACCTTTTGATATCATGAGCTTCATTCCTTTCTCACTCATATGCCCAAGCCTCGATGCCATAAGGAGGAATTGTTGCCAACTTCTGCAGATCGATATCATATCCTCATCTCGCAATCATGTAGAGAGATCCTTGCTTCTTTCCACGAGCAACAACAAGATTACCTTTCATTACCTTCCAATGTCCATCTCCAAAAGTGGTGTAATGTCCCTCATCATCCAACTGCCCTATAGATATTAAGTTTCTCTTTAAGGTTGGAATATGTCCGACATTATTCAAAGTCCACACGTTTCCATTAGAGGTTCTGATGTTAATATCACCTCTTCCTATGATATCAAGAGATTTTCCATCTGCAAGGTAGACCTTCCCAAACTTTCCGAAACATAGTTAGATAATAGTTCTAAGGAAGGTGTAGTATGAAATGACGCACCCGAGTCCATAATCCATGAGTCAATAGAATTATCTAAACTACATAACAAGTGCATCTTCAACTTCATCGATTCTTGCATTTGCTGATTGATCATCATCTTGCTTCTTGTTGTTGTTGTTGTCCTTCTTTGGAGCCCTACACCGATTTGAAAAGTGGCCCTTTTTCCGACAATTCCAACAAGTGATATCATTCCGGACTTTTGCTTGTGATCTCCCTCTGGATTTTGATCTGCCTCTGCCTTGATTACGACCTTTCGGCGACTTCTTCCTCTAGTTTCAAGTACTCAATGTCGAACTCGAATTAGAACCGAAAGATTCTATCGAATTTTTTCTGCGAACATCTTCGCTTAAGATCAAGTCACGGATGTTATCAAGCTTCAACTTGTTATTGCTTGCGTAATTACTTATCGTAAGAACAGCTTGCACCCCAACTTTCCGGTAGAGATGATAATAAAATTAATGCTTTCACCTCATCATCAAATATTATCTCGCACTGATGTCAACTGCGCAATAATTGCATTAAATTCACTAATATGATTAGTAACCGAGTTACCTTCACCCATTTTGAGGTTGACTAGCCTGCGAATCAAATGCACTTTATTGGCTGCAGAGGGCTTCTCATACATATTTGACAACGCTCGCATCAAATCTACGGTTGTCTTTTCGTTCATGATGTTGAACGCAACATTCTTGGCTAATGTCAGCCGGATCACACCAAGCGTCTGCCGATCTAACAACTCCCATTCTGATCGCTCCATGTCGGTTGGCTTCGCACTGTCAAGGGTAGATACAACTTCTTCCGATACGGATAATCTTCCATCTCGCATCTTCCGGAACCCGAAGTCACCGCCATCGAACTTCTCGATCCTCACCTTTCCTTCTTCCAATGCCATTGCTCTCATCGCTTTCGAAGAAAGCTCCCACTGCTTCTCTAAACTGAGATTCCCAAGAAAAAGACCAAATCTTTCTCGATGTGGAAGATCGGACAAAGCTGCAACCACGAGAGCATACTAAGAAAATTGGCTCTTGATACCAATTGTTAGGAACAAGACAATAATAAAGGAAAGAATGAAGGAGAGAAAAATAAACGACACAAGAATTTTAACGTGGTTCGGCTAAAATATGTATGCCTACGTCCACGACTACACTAGGAAGTATTTTTTATTTCTGTGTGTATCTCAAACTTTACATAGGGTTGCTTATATAACAAAATAGAGAACCTCATCTCACAATCCTAATCGATGTGGGACTAAATCAAGCACCATAATACTAACATATACTAGAGATCCTAAAGGATAACCAAAAAATGTAACAAATAATATCATATAAATTGGATGAATTGATTCTCTGCCAGCAAAATTATCTTCATCACATGTTTATTTATAATATATCTGAATATATACACAAGTTGATACTTTAATCCTAGACCAGCCAACTGCAACTACTATTAAGAAATAGGAACAAAATTAATTAATTAGTAATAAATAAAAATCTAATAACCTAATCTCACATACCAGAAACCAGTACAGGGTTTAAAAGTCAGCCTTAATGCCACTTGAGTGTTATCATTTTTAATATTTTTAACAAATTCTATAGTATAGTTTTAATTTTCCAATACGATTATTTGGAGATCTATATAAACTCTTAGACCTTACGCTCTTCTCATCCTCAGTTTTGAAACACAACTACCATATAAACATATCGCACATCAAACCATCCATCTACGTAGACTCCATTAACAGGATGATCAACTATCTCCAGAATGTTCCAGCTGCAGCAGTTGCCAACAGGAACAGGTTCAGGAACACCAAATCTTCTTTAAAAAGAGGACAGATTAAATCTAAGATAGTGGTTAGTGCTTTTCATTTCATCGCCTCTGTAATTTGTCCAGTCTCATCAGCAGGAAGTCCGCGCTCAAAAATAGTCACTTAGCTTGACGCAGGAGTGAATGCATAAGGATTTCCTTGTTCGTATCTACATTCAGTTTAGCTTTTCATTTTCTTCCTGTAATATTATATATTACATATATGATTGTCTGTGATATATGAGTTTAGTATATGTAAACTTTGAGATGAAAAATTTTAGCTGCAAATGGACAAATAATTTTATAAGCTTATATCTAAACCCTTTTATCGTGTCAGAGAAAAAAAGAAAAAGAAATTGAGGTTCTAATAAGACAAAAGAATGGAGCTTATTTTTTTTACAATTTTAATGTATCTAATTATCAGTCTACAAGACTACAACAATTTGACTCAATTTTTAAATTTTTTAACACATTACTTTAAGATATCAGACAATAACTACTCAAAAACTACAATTTTAACACATTACTTTAAGATATCAGACAATAATTTTTTAGGTAGGAATGAAACACTCAAGTCATAAACTTAAGCTACAGAACACAATAAAGTCCTCAAGATAGGAATCAAACACCCAAGATCTAAACCTACAAAACACAATAAAATCCTCCAAACTAAACAATAGAGTCCTCCAGTTCCAATCCTCCAAATTAAAAGAGTTAAACTGAACAATAGAGTCCTCCAGTTCAAAAGATGTATGACAATAAAATCCTCCAAGTCAAGTCCTCCAAATTAAAAGATGATTTAAACAAGATTTAAAAAAAAAATGATATGCCGCAATATGCAACAGAAACACGGGATTCTTTAGTAAAAGGCGATAGAAGAGTTGGATGTTTCTATCACACGGCTCCACAAGACTAGAGATGAATAATCATTCCTGTTTATACAATAAGTAGTTTACTAGCTCTTACTAAACCAACTGATATGGTCTGGGTTAAGAATCAAGATACCTCTACAAACTCTACCTGGACTATGCTATCTATGATCACCATATTCACATCAACAAAATGACTGAGTATATCACCAGTGCGACGAATCATTGGTGTTATCTTCTCTGCTTGGGTGTCTGTGGAACAAGTTACAGTTGGCACAAATGGTTAATGAAGGAAACAAGATTTTCTAAGTATTTGTTTAGCTTTAAGGCTTGTATTGTGAATAATGAATTTACATTATTACCAATGTACCCAATTTTAACTAAATATAAGTCAAATTTTGGAACTTTCTTAAACTCCTTAGAGGAAAAGGATGAATCTATTATTGAATTTAAAGGGTACACCACCTTATTATGAGGTGATTCTATATCAAACACTTATCCACTTCACTCAATTTATGGATACCAAAAAGCAATTGTGTCTGCACTACAAGAGTTGGATTATTTCCTTCAAGCCAGTTGCAGCAAGTAAATATAGTTTAAAGCTAAATATAACATAAGCTTTTAATAAAAAATTTGCTAATTAAACATTTTAAAATAACTATACATGATCGAGCTTTAAGCAATTAAAAAAATATAACTCAAATCAATCTGCATCGTAGAACAACAGAAATACATACACATACTGTATAAAATAAAATGATAGACTGTTATAAACTAACTAAACAAAATAATTTCAAGTCTTAACCTTTTAGCTTGATAGAAAGATAAAATCATAATACTATATTGACATTAATTATAGAATACTCTACAGAAAATTAAAGTAAACTTTTAAACTTAGATATAAGGTTTCACAAGGAAACCTTCTCAAAAATAAAATATGCCACTTTTCAAATGATGAAGGCACGGTATTCTTTAGTAAAAGGCGAAAGAATAATTCGCTATGCCTTCAGCACGCAGCTATGCATTAGAGGGAAGAAAAACCTTTCATTTTGTAGTCTAAACAACATAACTGGTTTAGTATCTATTCAATGTGGGCTTTTCTTGAAAAATTTTCCTTCATGCATATCTTTCGTCTCAATTACTTATTCCTCTAAATATCTCTTCAGAAAAATTATACTTTTCAAGACTTGTGATAACTAGGTTTTATGTACTCTCTTTAGACCAAAACTACCTTTTTGCTATGAATGAACATTAAAGAAATTCAAAAAACTATTAATGCATTTGAACCATTATCTGATTTATTTCTTCTATTTTATACACCCTAGATTCTACATGGTAGCCAGTAATAACTGTACTGCGTGACAGTATCTTCAAGAAAGCAACCAAACTTTTCTTTTGTCTAAAATTAACTTGCAGGTATAACTGACTGAAAAAAGGATAGATGTGTTACTAACAAGATATGCATGTAGACATAAGAGGCTGATGAAGCTATGGTATTACACACTTGGTGAAACGATGGCTGCTATCTGGATTATATGCATATTATGTAAGCTAAGTGACAAGCTTCACTGAGCTAAGTTTTTTAAAATTTCGAAGAGATTAAAATATCTGATTGAAAGCATCTCAAAAACCAATTTAAGCATTTCCTCTGTTTAAAACTTTAAAGCCAAGAAAGAGACACTACGATGCATAAAAAACTATTATAAAGGATAAAAATAACCACGTAGGTGAGTTAAGAGAATACGAAACTCCATTAGTATTTTTTTTTGCCACTTGTGTCATCATTTTATGTTTCTCTTGGAAGATTGGGTGGGAGATATCTATCAAATAAACAATATTAGAAAATAATTATTACATTGAGTGTAGATTTAGCAAGTTTTATGTTTGCCTAAATAGTTAACTTATTCTTAAATACAAAATATTATCAAAGTGTTGGATAAGATTAGTAATGACAAAATAGATCAATTATCTTGTTTTAATCCGTTTTTAGTTAGAAAAAATGGAGCGGAACAAGCAAGCCCATCATAATCAAATTGATTTCAGATTTCAATCCACGTCCGCTAATAATTTTATATATATATATATATATATATATATATATATATATTAAATATATTTTTAATTATATAAATAATTTTTTATTTTTTATTTATTAATTAATATTTTTATTAAATAAATTAAAAATTTTATTATATCTACATGTCAAAATAACTAATTATAATTAATAATTTAAATTTAATTAATTAATTTGTATAATTTAAATTATAATATATTTATATATCTTAATAATATATAAAAAATATTATTTTTGATTATAATCCTTTTTATTTTTATTTTTATACTAATATATAAATATTATTTTAAAGTTGCTACACTATGTTTGGTCTTTAGTTCACTAAATTTACGAGTTGGACAAATGAAAAACACAGAGTTGTAAACTAAAATTACTAACACATCACACATACTTTTTAGATATGATGTCCCAGCCATTCCTAAATAATATCTCAAATAAAGCTCACATACTATCAAACTTTTTTTTTTTTTGTTCAAAGAGGAAGAAATCCAACATAAATTATGAAATTCCTATTTATGTTCCACACACAGACAATTTTAATCCTGTTATGAAACACTCCTTGTCATAGCGAGAGAAATACGAAAAATATGAAACTGAATAAAATAAAATAAAATGTAATAATTCAGGTTCATATGTAATGTCAATCATGATGGAATATGTTGGGGAACTAAAGGATGTGCTGAGAATAATTATTTGGGGAAATATGGTCAAATAAGCATTGAATGTTTGTAGGCAAATTTGAAGTTTTAGGAAAAAAATATAAATGAAAAACAAAATTAAAAACGTAGATAAATAAAAGGAATGTTGATTAAAACATTTATAGTCATATATTCATTGAAGGGTTTCCCATCAAAATTCGTATTTAAAGAGGTTGATGTATTTTGCTTTTGTAGGTAAACCATCTCACATCTCTTAATGGAGATTCATCATTGCGAAGCAATAAAAGTTTGTCAGCATCATCACTAGCACCACTTTTGTTTGATTAATGATTAAAATCTAAAACAAATTTAGAATTTCGAAAATGCGATTGCAAAATGTTGTGTAAGTTAAGTTATTATGATGAACATTTTAACTTTTGTTTCGAGCTTTACTCAAAAAGCTAATAAATGTTGACGGGCAAACTTCAAATTTTATTAGATTTGTTACCATCATTTCTTAGGACTGATTTTAATCTATAATACTGAAAAGTAATCATTTAAAAATATTCATTTTAACTTTATATTTCCATGTTATGCCCTTTAATTATTATTTTTTTATCTTTAGTAATTACAAAAAAAATTCAAAGTTAACAAAATTCTAAAAAGTCTTGGGGAACTTTTTATTTTAAGTTTTTAAAGTTTTTTAAATACTATAACTAGTTTTCAAACAAAATATCTACAGTTGTAGTTTTTTTTATTTATTTTAGTTTTAAATATTTATCATCAATCATTTTTACATTTTTTTTTTAAGTTCACTAAATTGGACTTCCAAAAATAGATTGAAGCAAATTGAACGTTATACTGGTATTTATTTTCCGACTAATTCTAGACCATTAAATCAGGTCAAATAGGTCTAAACCAAATTTAAATATTTAGAGTCTAAATTTAGTTTTTCTTTTTGCATTTTCATAAAAATGTTGGACATGTCTTAAGATGTTTATGAAGGTACAACAATAAGCATTCTCTAAACCTTATATATTTCATAAACTAGGTTTTGAGTTGTTCATGAACTTGAGATCTAAAGTAACCATAAAATACTTGTAAATGTGAAGTTAGAAGGTATCGTATTTCGGATATTACAAAATCATGTTTGACTCACGTTAATTTGTGTTCAAAAATTGAAATTTCTTTTTGATTGAGCAAGTTCGCGTCAATTAACTGTAGAGTCAAACAAAAAATATAGATTAAACCATAGTTATATAGAGATAAAATGACTCATTTAATTAAGGTCAAAATTAAAAGTTCAAACATTGCGTTTCACTGAGTGAGTTCAAATGGGATTGATCTCTATTTGTAATTAATTGGTCAAAAACTCTCTAATTCAATTTTAATTTTTAAAATAAGACCAAACCTGTATTTACAAAAGTACAAAAATTCTCTCATTAATTTAATATTTTTTTACGATTTTATTACTATTCACAAAAATAATCTTTGTATTGAATTTAAAAAAAAAAATTTGTAAGTAACAAGAGTACCAATATAATATCTCGAATAAGAAAATCAATAAATTATTACAGTTAATTTTTTTTATCACATTATATTTTACTAATTTTTTTATATAAAATACAATAAATATTTTTTCTTTCTTTCTTTCCTTACAAAATAATCATTATTCTAATTGAGGACGTACAGAACCTTAATAATAATCGCGCGGCAAATCCCTATTGGATGTATATGCGGATGTGCATGCATACATGAGATAGTAAATGGGATGTGATGAGTGGTGGGTTCAACCACGCCATATTCGTACATAATTTATGGTAAGATACATGCATTACTTACTCTAATTTTTTATAAAGCCACTAATGACGTGCAAAGAAGAGACTGCATTATATACACATTACCTATTCAAACAAACACATGTAGATTACCATTAAACATTAAACATGATCTGAAATAGATAACGAATAACTTATATCTTAAATATATAGTTAAAGATTTAATTAGAAATATCTAAATATGAAAAATCATTTCTTTGAAGATATTAATTTTTTAATTAATATTAATATCAAAATATTAGTTATTAATTTCGAATAAAAGTAATCCATTCTAAAAAATCAACACTAATTAAGTGGTACTCATTTCTAATCAACTTGTTTAAAAAAATCAAATAAAAAATATTGATATACCATTTGATAGAAATATCAAAATAAACTTAATCGTTCAGATCAATATAAGAAATAGATTCGGAGTAGAAAAAAAAATATAATCTATTTTAAAATATAATATTATAATATTATAGATTCGGAGTAAAAAATATATATAATCTACCTTAAAATATAACATTACAATATTATAAATATAACAATATAACAATGATACTAGGCCACTTTTAAATTAAATTCTCTTACAACAGTGCAACAAACTAAAAATAAAAGATTTATATAATATAATTTATTTTTATTTTTGAATAAGGTGGGACTTTTATTTATATATATTTTTTCCAATCAACTATAAGTGCAATTTGGATTTTTTTTTCCAAGTAAATACATACCTACCTTCAGTTTGTTTGCTGAAGTAAACTAAGTAGAAGTCTGGGCAGTGTATATATATGTAGGGTTAAATACCCCTTGCCAACAATCAGTGATCTATCAATTATTTAGCAAGAGCAGAGATCTTGGATTATAAAGGGTATCCATTAATTGATAACAGTGAAACATGAGTAGAGGTGAAAGAAGTGGTGGTGGGCAAAGCTCCTTGAATTACCTCTTTGGGTCGGAAGAGAAGCCAAAGCCTTCTTCTCCTCCAAAGACAGTTTCATATTCATTGCCACCTTATGGCATTGAAATGGATAAGGATAATCCTCCTATCGCTCATCTTCCCCCTTCCTCTGACCCTTCTCAGGGCCAACACTTGGGAAGCGTTCTGACTGTAAGTTTATCATTTTAATTTATTTATCATTGAACATTCAATGATATAGCATATGGTTATTATGGTTCATTATGATGATGCTCATATAATTGATCATCTTCATTTTTTTGTTTATCTATGCTTTTCTACATATGCATTCGTGATTCAGAATCGTCCCTCCACAAAAGTCAAATCGGTTCCTGGTGGACACTCATCGCTTGGATACTTGTTCGGAGACAAGTGATGTTTGGTGCCTCTCTGAAAAGAAGCATCAACAATCATGGGCTATGTTATAAAGCAAAGATCATTTCATGGATCAAAATTCAGTGATATATGATGTGTGTGTATGTGTGTGATTATTAGCTTTGAATTTCATGGGTTGCAAAGTTCTGGTCTGTTTTTCTTGTTACAAGTTCTTAATCAAGTAATTTCACTTACAACAAATAAAAGAAAAGAATATAAGTATTATTTTCTGCTGTACTTCAACAAATTAAATAAGAGATCCATGTGTTATGTTTTCGGATTTATCTTTGTCACAAAATATTTAAACTCAATTGGCATTGAACTTGTTAAATAAACAATCTGGAACTAACAATTTGGATGAACAAATTTTTCAAAATAAATTACTTTATTAGAAAAATTAAATTACTTTATAAAAAAATATTTAGTTTGATTAGTAAACTTTGAAAGAAATTAAAATTATAAGAACAATTTGACTACTTAAAATATATAATTTTATATTTTACCTAAAATATAAAAGTTTGAAACTTTTTATGATATGTATATTTTAATTAGATTTCTGCAAACTATTTTTCGAAATGTTTTAAAATTTGAACACTTTGAGAAACTCTTTTTTGAAAAATATTTTAACAAAAATAGATATTGAAAATAACTTTTGTCTGTTTTTGATTGTCTGAAAGTAAGAATGCATGAAGAACGGTATAAACAGAGATGGGTACATGGAAGAAACATAGATGGGTACATTTATGAAGATAGGAGATTTAGACCAAAATAAAAATATATTAGCTCATCTAAGATGTCTAAAAAAAATGTTGTTTTTCACAGAAAGGTAATCTACACTAGAAAAAACTATGCCAATATTTTTTTACTTGGGCAAGCCCAATATCTTGACATCCACAATCTTTAACAACAGGGACTTTTCCAATTGTATAATATATACACGATAAAGTGTGAATTATAATGAAAATAATAAAATATCATGTACTAAAACTGTTTTTGTGGTCGATTTTTTTTTTTTTAAGTTTATAATATAGGGTTTGAAATCATGCTGTCACATTAGAGTATTAAAATTATAATAAAAATAACAAAATATTATGTATTTAAATTATTTTTGTAATCGAATCTACTGGATTTATGCTCTAGATTTTAGGGTTTCAAATTATGTTATTATAGCGTATTTGATTTTTCATTTTCATTTTTATTTAACATTTTTAGATATCAAATGTTTTATTTAACCTTCTATTTTCAATGGTTATATAAAATTAAACTGTTATATATATATATATATATATATATATATATATATATATATATATATATATATATAATAGATCCAAATGTTCATGTTAATAGTTATATATTGCTTTGATCTCAAATTTGTTAAAATAGTTAGGATAATTATATTTTGAATATTATATTTACTATCTGTTTTAATGTTTGAACGTTTTCTATTAATTTTTTAAGGAAAAAAAAACTACGTTGGTAAGAAAGAAAGAAAAAGAAAAAGAAAAAAAATATATATATATAAGTTTTTTTTTTTACTTTTAATTTCTTAATAATATTAGGTATATTGAGTATGATAATTATTATAAAACGATAAATTTGTTATGATGATATATGATTAGGTGATAACATAAAATTGTTTTAGAAAATTTTGTCATAATAATATTAATTGAAAAAGTGAAAAAAGAATTGGCTTAAGTTTGGCCCGTGATGTTGGCCACGTGGAAATGGGCATCGCGGTCAGGGGAGGGTGTCATGTGAGCGGCTTGTTTCTGCGATTAGAAACGCAGTCACGAGATTGGCCATGCAAGGTAATGTAGACATGTTCGACAAAGTTCCGTGACCATGTGGGCCCTCTTTCCCCAACAAAAGAATGCCATTTCCCACCAAATACTATTTCAGCCAAGTGTGTGAAAACTCCATCAACACTAATTAATGCACTCAATTTACATTTACTCTTCATTATTAAAAATTAAGGATAAAGATAATTGTGGACGGTATCAAATGTAATAATGTCCACCAATGAAGCAGAAATGAATTGTAGCAGTAGCAGATAAGTCATGTGTGAATATTTTTATGTAGTGGAAGAAAAGACACTTACCGATGCACGATACAACATGATCTATTATTGCCTACGCCATTCTTTTGCGCTCCACTTAAACTTATAAGGAACAACATGCATGATATTTGTCCTTGCATGTAAGTGGGGGACTAGAGAAGGTGAACCACACATAAGGGTATAAAAAAAGTAGCCTCAAAATGGAAGGCAATATGAAGTGGATTATTTATACACAGTGCACTCAACACTGATAATGGCTCGTGTTTTCCAATCTGTTCAGTTGAGAATATCTTTTCAAAATTTGCACGCAGTTCATTATTTCCTTCAATCCTCGGCATATCACAATCAGATGCTGAATGATCAGACTTTGAACTCAATAATGAAAACATCTAGATTATTTGTTGTTTATTTTACCTTTGCTTTGGCAGAAATAATTTATGTGACTGTAACTAAATCTATATGTTCAAGCTTGCCTAAAGCTCTCTTGAGAATAGAGCTGTGTTCAATTTTTTTAGCTTAGACTTGACAATTTCCAACTAGAATGTGATAATGGGATGAGTAATTCTGTTCAAACTTCATCTCTGCGCTTTAACAGACCATCTAATTGAATCGTAAAGAACTTGACTAGCTACATTTGGAAACATCACCTTACAAGACACGTTCTTGTTATCACATTCACATGATGAATAAGAAATATACTATGTGGGGTAGCACAAAATGAAAGCAAACACAATCCTGAATAATTATTATATATATATATATATATATATATATATATATATATATATATATATATATATATATATGTATGTATATACCTACAATGTTTTCTATGTAAGCATACCGATTGCTCAATTCCGCACCAGTTCTCCCCTCAAGAAATTCAGGTACAAGAACCGTTCCTTTATACTCTTATCTTTCTTTCCTAGCATAAGGTAAAACAACATCTACTTTGACATTTTGGGTTACATATAAATTATTGACAGGTGAAATTTGGCAGTTCATGGATGTGTTGTTCTGGTTATGTGTTCTTTTGGTTGCTTTGCCAAACGTGGCTGTAGTGGAGAGCCGCAAAGCTCCAGTTCTGGACTACTTTGAGTACTGCGCTATGAGCTGCAGAGCTTATAGTGCCTCAGTGGAAGAATTTGGAGGGGTTGGTGATGGAACAACTTTGAACACAAGAGCCTTTCAGGAAGCCATATATCACCTGAGTCAGTATGCATCAAGTGGAGGGTCTCAACTTTATGTTCCCCCAGGAAGATGGTTAACTGGCAGCTTCAATCTCACGAGCCATTTCACTTTATTCCTACACAAGGATGCTGTGATTCTTGCCTCTCAGGTCTAATAGCTTAATTTTCTAATGTTATGTTATTCTTCACTTAATGTAATTTAAGTGTATTGATATTATGTTTGTTTTGAAACTATTGTATTAGGATGAAAATGACTGGCCCGTAATTGATCCCTTGCCATCTTATGGTAGAGGGAGGGACACCCAAGGTGGAAGGTTTAGCAGCCTAATTTTTGGAACCAACCTCACTGATGTAATCGTAACTGGTAATGAAACTTATGCTTCTGGGATTACAAATGTTGTCCTACTAAATATTTAGTCTTTTAATTATTGAATTCAAATTTGTTTATAGGGAACAATGGCACATTAGATGGACAAGGTGATCTGTGGTGGCAAAAATTCCACAAGGGGGAGCTCAATTATACCCGGCCTTACCTGATTGAAATCATGTACTCAGATAATGTTCAGATATCCAATCTCACTTTGGTGAACTCTCCATCGTGGAATGTTCATCCAGTATACAGCAGGTTCATCCTACTCTTTGCAATGCCTATTATCTTTAATAACTGACTCTACAAACTTCCTTCAGGGGAAATTTACTATACTCTTTCCTGTTTTCTAATTAACATAAGAAATTGAATGCAGCAACGTTGTTGTTCAAGGGCTCACAATTCTTGCTCCTGTGACATCTTCAAATACAGATGGAATCAACCCTGGTAAGTTAGAATATGTCTCCATATCTTCTCCTAGATAATACACCTTTAGTTATAAAATTCTATCAATAATCCTGCATATAACATACCAAATTCACCAACCACGTACGCATTCTCTTTAAAAGAAATCTTGTACTAATAATGTAAAAAAGTGTAACTACTTGAACCATGGATCCTTACTACGTAGTTAGTAATATGGTATATAGTGTATAGTCCAGTACTACCTACATGTTGACCAATCATACTACGTTTTATGGTTTTGATGCAGACTCTTGCACAAACACAAGAATTGAAGACTGTTACATTGTATCTGGGGATGACTGTGTGGCTGTGAAGAGTGGTTGGGATGAGTATGGTATAGCTTATGGAATGCCAACAAAGCAGCTTGTAATCAGAAGACTCACTTGTATTTCTCCATTCAGTGCTGTGATTGCTTTAGGAAGTGAGATGTCTGGTGGGATTCAAGATGTTAGGGCTGAGGACATTGTAGCCATCAATTCAGAATCAGGGGTTAGAATCAAAACTGCTGTAGGAAGAGGAGGATATGTTAAGGACATATATGTTAGAAGAATGACCATGAAAACCATGAAATGGGCATTTTGGATGACAGGAAATTATGGGTCTCATGCTGATGACAAATATGATCCTAATGCACTTCCTGTGATTCAGAACATAAACTACCGCGATATGGTTGCTGAGAATGTCACTATGGCTGCGAGGTTGGAGGGTATCTCTGGTGACCCTTTTACTGGAATCTGCATATCTAATGTAACCATTCAACTGGCAAAGAAGGCTAAAAAAGTTCCATGGACTTGCACTGATGTTGATGGGATTTCAAGCGATGTCACTCCTGCACCATGTAATCTGTTGCCAGACCACGGAGAAGAGAAAATTGGAACATGTACCTTCCCAGAAGAAAGTTTGCCCATCGAAGATGTCCGGGTTCAAACGTGCACTTATAGTAGGAATTTATGATAGTGTAAAAGGATTAATGGCTCAGTTCAAGGGAACAACAGTCCAATGCAAACAATGTAATACTTCCAAAATTGTATTTAAAAATTGTGTACTTATAAAGACTCTGGACAAGGGCAATGACAACAATGATATAGAAATGAGTCAGTAATAAATACACATATTTATCATCTTCTTGTGAAATTCATTTTTTTTCACTTTTGCATTAACCTTACAAAATAAAAATAGGTAGAAGTGACGGGCACAATTTTTTGACTGCTATTGCTGAGACAGATAGTTTCATTATGCAGACTTGTTGATTTACAACTCTTTACTTCAGTGCTACTTTAACATATCACTTTGCCACACTCAACCGATTAACCAGATCTCAAGAAGAATCACCAATCACCATACGTGAAAGTCAACAATCTTAGACTTGTAATGTAACAAACGGTGTCATATCTAAACATAGAAACTGGAAAGTGATATTTAGAGATAATTGTCATGAAATAAGAGAGAGGCTCCGTGCTCTCTATCCCTCCAAAAGAAAACTTGAGCGAGCACAATACAACACAGCTTTTTTATTACTCTTACAAAGGCCTGTAACATCCAACTAGATTTCTAAACGATTACCCATTTTCCAGGAGAAATTTGTTTTCATACAAGGAAGAGAACTTCAATTTGTCCCTAGTAAATCGTCTTGGTGTTACACATGCAACATATTTAAGGGGAAAGAGGTTCATCTTGTTACATTTATACAAATAAGAAAGAATTACTGGCAGGGTGGATCTGGATTGAACTTCACTGATTCCCTCCAAATGAGCTCCTTCACGTGCTCTTCAGTGCATGTTGGCTGATCAAAATCAAAACTGAATGGCCTGGGACAGACTGGCTCATCATTGATGTTATGGAGTGATGAGAGATAAGGGTGACATAGTGCCTCATCAACTGCAAACAATGAAAATACCTCACAAAGATGAAACAAATGAGACCATCTATATTATTACCTAAGAAAACTATAAACCTCTCTTGGAACTCAGATTCTATGAGAATGAGTACCTGTGATGCGTTTGTTTGGATCAAATATAAGCATCTTCTCTAACAGGTCCAATGCCTCAGGCAACATGTTAGGAAATCTGGCTGAGAATTTTTGCTTCCGGTATTGTGGAAGCTGTCTAATGTATCTTCTGGCATTATCACTTCGGAGAAATTCGAGGCTTGCATCATCAGGTGAACCTAATAACTTTTGAACAAAAGGAAAACATAATGTATGAATGGTGTTACAACTTGTAGCTATTAGTTTACATGTAAGCTTAAATGTCCTTTTTGTTGCTGCAAATATACCAATATTTTCTTTTAATCTCTGTAACTTTCTTTTTGATGATCCTGAAAAGTTCAAACTTCCCTTTTAGGTATTTTTGCAAACTGATATTTTTGCAAAGACAAAAAGGGTATTTAAAATATGACCATATATGCATTTCTCTAGGTGGTTGACAATAACAACATTCAATAAGTATAGGTAATGGCACATGTAGGAAATGCAATGCATGAGTTAGGAACTTTACATGGTCATAATTGGAAGAATCCAAACCAAAACCATACCTCCGTTATAAGTCTTAATTGGTGAACATAGTCTTTCCCAGGAAACAAGGGTTCTCTGGTCATAATTTCACCAAGTATGCACCCAACAGACCAAACATCAATTGCAGAAGTGTACTCCGAACAGTTAAGGAGCAATTCTGGGGCACGGTACCATCGTGTGACTACATACTCTGTCATGAAATCCGTTTCAGTTGTTGTTCTTGCCAACCCAAAGTCTCCAATTTTAAGGTCGCAGTTTGAATTCATTAGTAAATTACTGGGCTTAAGGTCACGGTGCAAAACATTAGCTGAGTGCACATATTTCAGTCCCCGTAACAGCTGGTATAAGAAATACTGCACAAGTTCCTTCCAATATCAATTTAATGCTTAATTTCAAACTCAATCAAAAGCAAAGATGCAAACAATAGTTCTGAGTTAGCCCAGGCATATATATGTATATATCCATGGCTTTTAAAGAATGCTATAACCACATAGGCTAAGTCTATAGTTTATGATCTTAGTCAAATGTCAAAGCATATTCTTAATTCAAACGTTTAAACTAGAAACAACTGCTAACAACCGAGACTATATTGGAAGCCAAAAAGGGTTTATATCTATATTATTCGTAACCAGAGGTAGATACTACGTATTGATGGTATAAAAAAATATTGGATAATTATATGCTAGAAAATATAACAAGAGGTTGAAAACAACAGGTAATTAAAATCCAATAGTATATGAGCAAACCTGGCAATGTTCTTCACCAAGAGGTTGGTCAGAATGAATTATGTGATGAAGATCAGTGTCCATCAACTCATAAACGATGTACACATCATTGAAGGTCTCCCTTTTGGGGGGTCGTATGATATCCTTGATGGCAATGATCTGTGAAAGATATTAGCAATTTTAAGTGTTTAAACAAAGAGGTAACTGTAAATAGGGAACAAGTTCTGCAGAAATGTAGGCAAAACAATAGAAGATGAAAGTTAAATTGAATATGGTTGAATTAGGTAAATTCTCTCTATATATACAGGTACTAGAGCACACCAACACACAAGTGTATATTTGTCATGAAAATTGTCTAGGATATGGAAGAAGATATAACACACATACACACACATATATATAACATCTTAAACATTTCATTGATGTCATTCCTATAGAGTATTTCGATTTCTTTTTATTTAATTTTATAGATAGAGTACTCTTATATGTGTTATGTAGCATTTTATATTAGGACAAATTGAAATAAGAACATTAAAATACTTTCTCACTCAACCCCAGTACTGCTGCATGGAAAATCTCAAGACCGTGCTGAGACCATCCATTTCAGTTGTGATAGATCATCAGCATTCTAGAAGGAACATACGCACTCAATATAAGATATTAATATCATATGAATTTATAAAAACAATTGCATCATGATTACGAGGAAAATATTATATATATATTTGAAAAAAGATGTCCTCACTTTGCAGGGGTACATAAAGAGCACTTACATTTTCATGGTCCATGTGACGAAGGAGTTTGATTTCTCTCAATGTCCTCTTAGCATCAATTATATTGTCAAATGCGTTACCAATCTTCTTGATGGCAACTTGTTCGTGTGTTTCGGAATTAACAGCAGCACTAACAAAGAAATGTACATAAATCCATTTCTAAGCATAGACTAAACATGCAAATGTCAAATTTATGCGTTTAATCTGAAGGAGTTAAAGCACTTACCAGACGATGCCATTAACACCTCTACCAATTGGGCGAATAGGAGGCACATACTTGGAAGACACCTCGAACAAGTTTCCATACACATTGTACTGTGCATATTTACCACCATGTGTGAGAACCCTTTTGATTTTTGCATCCCCTGAAGCTGAAGCAGCAGCAGCAGAAGAGCTTGACCCTTTAGTGGCCATTTTCAATTTTCAAACTCTAAGAGCAAAAGGGTCTTCACCTTTCCAATCAAAATTACAAAAGCTAAGCCACCCAATAGCAAACAGAAAATAGCATTTTTCACTGGTTGAGTTTATTAGTTGATGATGGGAACGTACGTAAATACTGCTACCTTCCACCCAATTAGTATAAAAAAATATAAGATACTTGTGTTCATAGACCAAACATCTGTTACAAGATTATTTTGACACATACACAAAAAGTGGTTGTAGAACATATCATAAAGGAAAAAGTAGTTGTAGGATAAGTGAGTCGTAATGAAGCTTTTAATAAAATCTGAAAATGGCGTTTTCTAGATCATGGGCTTGCTACTTGGATATTGATCATTCTACCTGTAAAAGCCTAAAATGTAACGTGATCTCTAAAAGCATAGGATTTGTCACGAGATATTTGTTAATTTTCTTGCATTCATGCATCGTTAAAACTCTAGAAAGTAGAAACCTGGCTCCTTTCCCTTTTTAGGTGCGTACCCCTCAACTCTGAGTTCACAAATTGCATGTGATAAGTTGCATTGTGCCGTGGTTGAAAGTACACCACTGTTGTACTTCATGGTGTGAAAAAAGAAGAAGGAAAAAAATGGACGAACTAAGCGAACATGAAATGAAAAATATTAGTTCTAAAAAATGAGATCCTGGATTGAAACCTCTGTGATTTCTTGGGTGGCTTAGGGCAATTCAACACAAATAAAGTGTGCACAAGTATCCTGAGAGAGCTTGTACATCTCTCTGAACACATTTTTTTCTGCTTTGTTTGTAATTGATTCTTCTTTTATGCCAAAATTTCATTATTCTTTAGTAATTGTTACTGGGGTGTGGTGTTGCAAAAGGATTTGGACTGTGATAGTGCTGGTTTTGTGTTCCAATTTTCAACGCGTGTAAAATATGAATACACAAATGTAACTTATGAAGGTTGAAAACTTGAAGCAAACCATTGTTAGAGCAAATGACAAACAAGCGTAGAAGATCAGCTTTTGATTTGCGTCATAATACGTCAAATTCAACCATTATTTGTGCAATGCAGAAAAACTTAGATCCTGTAATTTTACATGTCAAATGTAGGTTTGCAAGATTCACTATTGTGGCCGCAAAAAATGAAGAGAATCTGACCTCTGTATAGTAGTCTAATGAAGCAGACCTGGAGTATAATTAACTTGAAATATACCTTCAAAAATTGTTTCTCTTTCGGCGTATCCTTGCATTCATACAACTGCATAAGAAACTAAAAGACATAATGTCAAAGGCAAATATTCTTAATTCTTTATGTTTATGTTGTTTAAATATATGTTCTTCATATATTTGAATTTTTATTAAGAAAACCAATTATTTTTGTTAAGAAGATCAGTGCACAAATATTAGGACTACATGGTGTTGATGAGTTGAATTTCACTCGCTTGGCGCTACTTAAGTAGAGTATTCAATAAGCTGCGAACAAGAAATATCCATGTTAGGATAAGACAATCAGTCCAAAGGTAACAATACCTTGAGTATAATTGTTATTCAGTGAAATGCACAGGATAAATATTAAATTTTATAATTGAAAATTAAAAAAAATAAATTTTTAATATATAAATTATATTATTATTAAAAAAATGTTATTTTTAATTATTAGTAATTTACCAAAACAATGCTAAAATTCATGTTATTAATAAAAATGAAAGACTTAATCAAATTTTTTGTTCCATACTATAATATATTTTGTTTGAGTTTCGTTCTTTTAAAAAAAATCTTTTGCTTTTAGTTTCTATTATAACTTTTTTTCTCCATTCAATCTAACTGTGATAATGTTAATGTCATCCTAATGTTATGATGATTACGCGGCACATTAACAAAGCTTAGTAATAATACCAAATACTAGAATAAAGAAATTATAGATTTATAGATTTTAAAATAAAGAAGTTGTATTTTTGTGGGACTAAAATGAAAAAAGTAATAATCTTTAATTTATTTTAGAAGATAGGTGTGCATTTACACTTTTTAAACCTTCTACTTTTTTATAAACAGAAAATTCTTATATTTTCAAGATTTGTTATTTTTACAAAAAGAAAATAACACGTTAATAAATTTCTTTAAAATGTTGATTGAAAAAAAATAACATAATAAGAAATAGCAAAGTCAGCAACTTCAATGAGAATGTTTTAAAGAAATCTCTTTATTATGGGACCAATGGCAAAATGAAAATTGATTGAAAAAGATAACAGAGAAGAGCGATCGCAGAATTTTTGAAACATGACAGTTGAACCCGAAAATAAATCTCTGAAGCAGGCAAAATTTGTCCAAGCAAAACTTCAAATAAAACTAGATTATGCACTAGTTTTGGAATAACAAAATTAAAAAATATTTATAAACAAATGATTCAGTATTAAAAAAAACTACTTAGTTTTAAAATGAATATATATATATATATATATATATATATATATAAATAAATAAATAAATCCACTTCTTTTATTGAAGATAAGCAACATAATGACTCAAAATTTCCACCTCAATTTTGCAGATTTTAAAAACGTGTATAATAAAGGGAAAATGTATAAAAAATATCGTTGTGACAATTTTTTATGAAAAACCTCTGGTGTGAACACTTCATATTAAAGGATTTTTCCGTCATAATTCATAAGTAGGCGAAAACAGTGCATTAATTTTTCTGTTTAACTTCATGTGCGGGGTAAATTATGGTAGCAAGTCCAATATGCAAGTACTACCGAAATTTTGACCAAACTTTGACTTAGGAGAACTGCGGCATTTGATATTGGGTTACGGAGAGAACAAATACGAGAGTGGTAACACTTCATTAGTAGAAACACTCAATTCAAAATCTTCATTGAACGAAACACTGAATATAAAGTGTCAAGTCGATAAAACAATCTATAGGGGATGGTATCTATCGTTAACTCCAACTACAGGCACATTCTACAGAAAATTAAACAAAAACTAAAACAGAAATATTATACTTAGGGAAGATTTGAACTGGTTGGCGCTCCAAAACCACCAGATCCACGACCAAAGCCAGGCCTTCCGCCAGGACCCTGCAATATGGCAAACCAATTGGTCATAGAGGAAAAAAAACACTAGAAGCAAAAGAAACCAAAAAAATGTTCTATACTGCACACACAAAAAATACCCCAAACACATCAATTACAATGCTTCACGGACACAGCTACCGCAAATTTAAAAACAAAACCTTATGATCAAGATACATCAATTACATGAAACTATTGATAAATTATAAATCAAGGTTTCGAAAGGGCCAATTCCAGATAGATAATGGAGCTAAATAGTTTAATTGTATAGCCTAAATGAGGAATATATTGCACATGTACGTGTCATAGACGAGCTCCCAACCCAGGACTTGGTGTCACATTTTCTACAGCTAAAACATGCAAATCAAATGGAAATTATAAACAAGTAGACCGAATCAATTCAAGTAAATTTACCACTAACAAGAGAAAAACATAAAATAAAGTAAAATGAATCAATCTTTCTTGAAAAATATAATTTTAACCTGTACATCTCAACTGGTTCAAAATTATCTCTCTACAAAAATTGAAAACAAATACTTAGAGAATTAAAAGCTCTATCAAGTTATATGATAATCCAAACTGAGTTAAACTACAAACCATTTCTGCTGGCGGGAGGCAACCTATAATTAACAATAAATCTTTTTCACATAAATTAATTTAACTTGTGCCATAATTTAATATATCAGGAATTCTACACTACTCTACAAGGCAGAGAGAAAAAGCAATAACAAATATTCAAATGGAAAAGACGCTACACATACAAACATTTGACAAAAATCATCTCTAATAATTCATTTGATTTCAAAAACAACGTCATCAAATTTAATTACCATTGTGAAAGCAATATTATCACGACTCGGGAAAATATCACAACCACATAATCCATATTTATCCATAACTCTTATACAAGTAGTTGACAAATCACAACCCAACCCTAGTCACAAATTTACTCTAGTAGTTTCAGACATGAGCACACGCATAGCTTCTGTTCCTCCATTTTTTTTTATTTTGTAGAAATTATACCATTTTTTTGATAGATAAATCAGATAATTTTGTTAAAATCCAATAAAAATACTATAAATAATATTTTTTTAAAATTATCTGAAGATTGCCGTGATTAAATTGAAAAAACATCACATTAGTTTACCAACTTAAAAATTCCTTTGTTCCTCGTCAACAAGCTTGTTGCTTTTCTCGAAACTGAACATAACTGAAGTGAAGATGAGAATAAAAAAAACATTATCTAGGAATAAGAGGTTTAAAACAAGTGAGGTTCCAAATCTTTTTCACATAAATTAATCTTAAATTGTATGATTTAACTTGTTCAAATCTCTCCACATAATTTATAAAGGGCTTGGAACAAATGCTTATCCAAACTAAAAAACACTATTAGTTAGAAGCTAATTCAAACTGAGTTAAACTAAAAGTCATTTCTTCAAACAGGGGGCAACCTACAATTCCAAACCATATTGACCGCATCCAATCTAAAGATAGACAACAAACAATGATGATGAAAACTAGGCCAAAAGCAATAGACAATCATGATCACACTAAAAATAAACAAAAGACAATTGCAGTGACAATAGAATTACCCCAAAAGAGGGCCTGTAGTCAGCAGGAGCTCCTCCCTTGTCTCCTCCAAAGTCCCCACCAGCTCCTCGGGGACCTCCGCGGTACCCATCACGATCGCCACCAAACCTTCGCTCCCCATCAAAGCGCGGTGGACCCCTGTTCAGAACACCACAAATTAGCCTCGTGCCAATAAACTAATAGAAACAACAGTTAGTTAAGTTCATTGTACCAAATCCCTGCATCTCTTGTATTCGGCTAAGTCAGTTATGCTCTACATTATGATAATCATCCAATAAATGCATGTTGTATTGCTTTATACTATGGTATTATCCAATCAATTGCAATTTTTTCTTCACATACCTTGGGCGATCACCGGATGGGCCACCAAAGGGCCTGCCAGGTGGCTTGGCCTGTTTCTTCAAAGTGGCAGGGACAATTTCGGAAGGAAGATTAAGGTAAGTTCTGAGAAACTCTATGCCATCATTTGTGAGGAACCAGTAATAATGCATCCAAGCAAAGGTCTCTCTCACGTACTCACGAGATTTGAAACTCTGCATCAGCTTAATAACCTGCAGATTGGGCACGTCAATATCAGGGTGCTTCGCCAAATTGAAGTCCTTCTTCGCATAGCAAACTCCCTCTGCACGATAAAGACCGACAAAACGTAAGATTCATTATTCGACGAGATGAAACCCTTGCGAACGAAGACGAATCGTGATAAACGCTAATGCACTTACCTTGGAAGAGGTATTTGCAGATCTCCTTACGGTTCTTCTCCGGGATGATCTGAACAGATAAAAACGGACGTGGGTGTTTTCATCAGAGTAAAAATTGAACGGAACAGTGAAAAAGATGGGCGATTAAGAATCTGCGAACGTACCATTGTGAGAAGGTGGAAGAGGATGAAGAGGAGGCCGGGAAACGAAGCTCGACAAATACTTCCACACTGTTGTACCTTTGTTGTTTCTTGCCTATAAACCCTAACTTATCTTTTGATCGATTTTCGCATTAATTGGCCTATTCATGGGCCTCGACGTACTTGGGAGTGCTTCTTGCCGCACCCATTTGGAAGTACAAAAAGAAAAAAGCCCAACTCGGTGGGTTAAATTAGTACACAAGGTCCAACCTTAAGAAAATAAAAAATTATTTTCTTAAAAAGTGGATTTAAAATAAGCTTTTACGGTGATCGGTTTGGAGGAATCCACGGTACACTAATGTCACACACTACATTTTAAATAAATTATAGATTAAAATAGTTATTTATATTTTTGATAATGATATGAAATAAAGTATGAAAATAATTATACAAATTAGTAAAATGAAAATTCATATAAATGTAAACTTATATAACTAATATTGTGCAAATTGGTTACATCAATTGAAGAAAAAGTTCAATTGTTGCGAAACCTAATCCACACAGTGTTAGAGATGCCTGTGCCCTTTCATAACTTAATATAAATCTCCTCGTAAAACTCTAAACAAATTAACAAGTGAACCTACGATTACATTATATTAGGGGTGTTTGTAGTACTATTTAGTTCGGTTTTGTATCCAAAAGTTAATTGAATTAAATATAAAATTTTAATATTAGTTAAAATAAAATATTAATTATTATTCTAAGTCATAAAAAATAATTAGTTATTAGTTAAAATGAATATTTTTTTAATGTAAATGAAATGTATTATAGTAGATTTTATTGTCACGCTACACATATCGTTCAATTGCTATAAATAATACTGTGTTGTTTAAAATCGTGATAGGTTGTTACTAGGTTTCTTTTGTGATCAAATTACATAATTAAAAATTAGACGTTGTGTTGTGTTTTATTTCGTTCGGACGAGGGGTTGATTTTGAGATTTTTTTTTTATGATAGAAGTGCATAATTAAAAGTGGAATGTTTTATTTCGTTTTGAGATCTGGACTAATAATTCTAGAGAAGGTAAAAATAAAAAATTAAAACATGTTAAAATTATAAATATATAAATAAATATATTTAATGATAATTAATTTATAAAAAAATATATATATAAAAAGTTCCCTCAAAAGAAAATCATGATAGATTTAAATAATTGAAATTTAAATGATAGTGTATTGTTTGCTTATTTATATATTTTATGTGATCTTTTATGTTTTAATTTATTTACTGACAATAAATTTTATTTAATTTTAATATTGACGGAAAAATAATAAATAGAACAGAACCAATTAATGTTAAAAAATTTAATTCAAAAAAAATATTTTAATTAATTTTCAAAGTTTTTATTAATTTTTAATTTTTTTTATTAGTTCGATTTTAAATACTACATAAGATTTATGTCTATGCAAATGTGTAAAAGTGTTATTTTAGCCTAAGAGCTTGACTTAATAGAGATATTTTATCACACAAAATATTTTTAAGAAAATCACAAATATGTGTTATAAAATATAACTAAAAAAATATAAAGTTTATAGTTAAAAATGATATATATATATATATATGTGTATATATATATATATATATATATATATATATATATATATTACGCTTGATATAGTTTATGACATTAAAACAAAACAAAAAAAATACACAAGACTTTATTTTTTATTAAATGAATTGGTATAAAATGTTAAAAAATTTAAATCTTGTTTAAGAGTAAGGTCTCCAGATTTTACATCTAGCTCACCCTTTTCCAATGAAAAAAAATAAAGGTTCTTAACTTAATAACATATATATCTAACAAAAAAGTAACTTCACTTCTATCTCAAACAATAATTTGAAACTAACACAGGTTCAACATATAATTGAACCATTACAAACTCAATTTTAAGTTATTTGTTTTTATTTTCAATTAATTTAGGTCAAATTTATGAGTGAGATTATGTAATTTACACGGGTAAATTGGAAATTTTTATTAAGGCAATTAATATATGTAATAATATATTTATAATAAATTTATATAATTCAGGATAATATATTAATAAAAAAATATCTGTTAATTTATTTAATACCTATTTATGGTTTATATATAGTTTTTTCTTTCTTCGTAAATTTTGTATTTTTTTCTCTTTTCTCATTTATTTCTTCTTATTATTTTTTTTTATCTTAAGTATGTTGTTTTTCTCTTTCGTCTCTGATTTATTCTCCTATTTAAACTGGGATATTAAAACTTTCTCCTATTTAATATATTAAAACTTAATACAAATATTTGTAAACAAATATTTTAAAAATATACATTAAAACTAAAAAAATATTAATTAATTATTTTAAATTATAATCATAATAAATAATTTATTTTTTTGATAAAAATATTTTTTGTCTACAAATAAGATAAATAATTATTTTTTAACTGTTTTATTATAATAAATAGTTACTCATATAATTAAAAAATATTAAATATTTATGAGTTAAATGTATTTTTTATGTAATAATTTAATATAGTTATAATCAGGTTAAGTTATGATAATTAATTAGATTAATTATTTTAAAAATTTATTAAAATTTTACTTTCAAATAAATATATTTTTTTAATAATTATAGCATAACAATAATAATTGTAATATCACAAATTATCATATAATATTTTTAAAAAAATTTAAATATAATATATTAAATTATACAAACCCTAAACCTGAACCTGAACCCTAACTCTAAACAACGAAAAATATTTAAATTTTATAACATTTGATCGTACCAACGTAACCTCGTTGGAAATTTTATCAAAAACTTGTATATTAGAGTTTTTTTTTTCTGTTACAGAAGAGTTTATGAACTGTGTTTTGTACAAAGGTACCGTGTTGGATGAAGGAAAACAAATAGAGAAATTAGTAATAAAAAAATGAGTGTAATAACTACAAAGTGTAAATGCAAAATTTTACATCATTAACTTACTAAAAGAATTTATTATTATAGTTTTTAATATAATCTTTGTAAAAATTAGTAAATTTAAACTATGTAGCAGTGTTTTACATGATTAATGTATCATTTATTTTAGCATTGAAAATATATTATTGAATCGGCACTATTATCGTTGATTTAACCAAATTAACCCACCGCTATCAGAGGGAAGCTAATCAATGCATGCACAGCCTTGGGCAGAATCTCTTTTTCTCTTTTTGCTTTTGTTTTTTTTTGGGACTTGGGAATTGGGGGACATGCATGTGATAAGTCAATGTTTTCTCACTTTTTCCACAGACAGGTTGTTGGTATAAAAGGACATGTAAATGCAAATGGCAAAAACTCATTATTGTCTTCCACAAACCACCTCACAGTCAAACTACACAGCACAAGATCGAAATTGTTGATACCAAGAAAATTTGTATATCTAATTCATTTCACATAAGGGATATAGACAAGACTACTTAAATAGAGGGAAACTTGTGTTTAATTTGTATAAATAAAATTTGTTGGATGTGTAAGAAGGATTAATCTTTAAAAAGTGTTAAAATTTAAACGTGAGCTAAAATCCATGCATTATTAACATTGAAAATCCGGTACATGTACAGTCAAATATTCAGCATTCGGAAGATGCTTTATGTCCCGAAAATCAAGCTTTTGCTGCTAGTTGCAATGATCTTTATTTTTTCTTTCCCTCTTCCACGTCAAAACACCCAACAAACATCACCAATGGTTACATACAATACATATATCTTACCTTCACTCACATTTCACAATCTTTACAAACCAGCAATCAAAGAAAAAGCGTGCATATCCTCTGCAAATTCACAAAGCCTGGCCTGGACCATATGATGAAAATGTCTTCCTAGCTAGTCAGAGAGGTCATAGAAGAACGTGGGGACACCTTCCACAATCATTTTTATCTCACAAAGAAGAAGGAAAAGGAGAAAGTGTGTTAGCGTCCACATTTGCTGAATTTGGTGCTAGTTCTTCCCCACCAATACTGTCCCAGAAAAGAAAGTTGGGACATTGTTGCTGCGTTTCCACCCATTCATTTAACCCTTGCCTCTGCAAGCACTCTAGTGCTATATCTCCTTGGTCGTCCATGGTACATGTTTGTACCTCAACTGGGACCATGTTGTCCACGTTCTCGATCAATGGTGGCAAATAATTTGTGGTGTCCAAGCCTACAGTCACTGTGAGAGGAGGCAGTGTCGTCTGAACATGATGGTGGCTCAGGTTCCATGTTTCAGTGCTCAAACCTACAGCATCTTGAAAATGTTCTGCTCGCACACTATTGCAGTCTGTTGCTGTGCCTTCTAGTGAAGTTGTGTCAAACATGAACAGAGGGCATGTTGAGGAAAACAAGGTTTCTTGAACTTGTGGTTTTGTTTGTAGATTATCTAGGTTGGAAGAAAAGTGGCCTAGTAGATTGGAATTGTAGTTGAACTGGGAAGAATTGTGATCGATGCTTTGTGCAATAGTGGTTGAAGACACTGAAGTCTTTCTTATTTTCTTTTTTATCCATGAGTTCCAATAGTTCTTTATTTCATTGTCAGTTCGACCTGGCAAGTGACTTGCAATGTGAGCCCATCTGCATTTCACAGATTCAAGAATTAATAGAATGCCACAGTTTAAGTCAAGAGAAACATAATGTTCTTATAGCAGATCTTTACATCTATGATTAAGTATACTGAAACAAAGTTGGAGAGAGAAAAAGAGTATATAAATCCCTTAAATTTTTTAAGATACTGTATGTTTCTCAAAACCCTTAAAAAGAGTATCTAATTTCTCTCTCTCTCTCTCTCTCTCTCTCTCTCTCTCTCTCTCTATATATATATATATATATATATATATATATATATATATATGTACTTTACATTAAATCATAAATATTTCATTAGTTTGGAAACATATGTGAAGAAAAACCTGACAATGAAAAATGAGAAATAAGATCGTTATCTATATCAGTTTTGCAAGAAGTATACAGATCTATATCATCTTTATATGGTAAAAATGTGAAGTTGGACAACAAAATATCACGGGTGAAAGAAATTGCTTTCTTGACTTCCCTAAAACTTTAGCTCATAGGCAGATATAGCTTCTTTAGATTGCCTTTACTTAGAAACGAATTTGTTTTTGTATACAGAAAAAAAAAAAAAAAAAAAAGTGGACAACTTTCGTTACTTTTGACTAGGAGATATTTTTTAGTTGTATGTGAAAAAAAAAAAAAAAGTAAGTTAAGCAATAGATAGAGATAATTGAGAATAGTGTCGATTATACGATGCTTAAATAATGGAATTGAATTATAAATCTGTCTTATATCAAATAGTTTGTATAAATCAACCACAATTAGATAGAATCATGGAGAAGACTAGAATCGCAATGCTGCTTTTATACATAGTTTATTTTGAGTTATTTATCAGAAAATTGAAGTTCATATGTATACTAGAAATTGAAAGATGATCCATAGACAAGGAATGCCATCATAAGCCATCACTCCTTCATTTTACATAGTTTTACTCGATATAATAATAAATGAAAGTTATATTTAATCCACTTACTGAGAGATATTAAACTCAACTCAACTATAGGCTGATGATGCCATAGGACTAAAAAGAAGGCATGTGTATTATGACAATAGGAGAGAAAATGTAGGAAGATAAAGCAAAGGGTTGAAACTGATCATGATTCAAAATTCTGGGTAGATCACTACAGCTATATATAGTGTTATTCAAACCTGTTGCCTACGACCCCGTGAAGGCTTATAATTAACTTTTCCTCCTCAGGTGTAAACCTGCCTCTTCTTATATCAGGTCTCAAATAATTAATCCATCTCAAGCGACAACTCTTGCCACACCTTTGAAGCCCTGAAAGCCAAGCACATATGAAAATAAACACTGCACTTAAAGGGATTCTAGTCCTTTAAATTTAATCATGAAAATTGAGGGCAGTTCTATCATCATCACCAAATTAAGAGGGGATGATCAACAAGAAATTGTAAAGTACCCTCAAGAATTAAAAAGGATGAGAAGCACACACATACTCTCTCTCTTTCCCCTTTGATTTGTAAAATTATATTTTAAGTATAGATTCAACAAATAATCATTTATTACAAAATTCTAAGATTTTTTTATGTGTATATTGTTAATTAGTACAAAATATTCCTCAGTTTTGATGATAATATAAATGATCATCCACTGTATTTTAATCCAAAACTTTGTTTAAACTGAATCAAGTATATTATTTGTACTAGTTAGTTGAAAACTAGTTCTTAAATTTATTTAGGCACTAGAATCTCTGTGATGAAGAAATATTAGTGAAAAGGAGAAAGAAAGAAAGAAGAACAGACCAGCTTTTTCTGGAACTTCACTCCAACAGCCGTATCCATGAGTTGTAATGTATCTGATGAGTTTTTCATCTTCCTCAGGAGACCAAAGTCCTCTTTTAACCTTCTGTTGGTTGCAGCAGGAATGGTGACCCATATTTCTAGGCTTCTTGCTCTGTCGTCTTCTTTTTCCTTCTTTTATATTCTTGTTCCCTAAGGGCTTCTATTGGATCAAACGGGGATCTGTGTGCAATAGTTCAAGACTCTCTTTCCTCCCTTCTTTAAAAGTACATGCCCTAGCCGACATATATTCAGAACCTGACGTAGGGTCCATGCAAGGGACCCAGATCTCCATCTAACCCTACAATGACATTCCATCAACTTAACTCTATATATTGCTACCTATTCATTAGTGTGTAACCATTTTCTACGTACATGTCAGTAGTGGAGGAATTACGTAACCAATTTTCATCATACACACCACTGTAACTAAAGCCCTCGCCCCTCTCCACATCTTTCAAATCCAAAACAACAAGAGGGGTATACAGAAAAACGAAAGGCTTCGGTAATAATAACATTCATATATTGCTGCTTATTTATGCACCTTCTTCGCCCTGTCTGCTGCAACTATACACCATCGTCATGATATCAAGAGCAAGTGGATCTCTGAAATTGACTGCGTGAATTATTTCGACAAATCGCAGTAGTTTCATACACGAAATAAAATATATCAATAGTTTAACCTAATAAGTTATAATAATATATGGTACTCGATTTTTACAGTACAAAAAACTTATTGGATTCTATTGGGAAAATAAGAAGGGGTTTATTTTCTTTATACGTTTTTTCTTCAAAAGGAGCTTCAGTAAAGTCCTATATTTTCATACCAATTTTTATTCTGTCAAACTAGAAATGGTGTACAAAAACAACTCATTACCTGTATTTTATTCATGAAGAGTGTTTTCCCTCTATTTTTCCCTTAATTTTCGTATGAAGCACAAAGGACTGGTCAAAATAAAAGGAAATTAATATCGACCTTAAACTTATTAAAGGTGATTAAATTACAAATTATTATTTTCAATTTTGGATTCATGGAAAAATGATTTCCTCGTAAAATTTTATTTAAACTAGACAATTTACACGCTCGAATTATAAACATTTAATAATTTTGTCCGTTATTTTTACATTCTGGGTTTCACTCAACTTTTCAATGATAGAAAATGTTTGGAATGGAAAAAGTAAACAGAATAATGAATTTGGCTTTAACGCTACAGACAATTAGGTAAATACAAAAATAACAAATTACTATCACTTAATTAATATTCAAATAGATACTTTCTTAAAATAAAAAAATAGAATATTATTGGTCATAAAAGCATATATTATCCGCGATTATGTGACTCGTATTCTCTTCTGGTGTGTCAAATATTTAATATTCGTCATGACACCTTCTACATCTTCTGGTTGTGATTGTTCTTAATTACGTCTTGTCCCACAATACGTTAATCATATGATTAATTGTTGATTTACCAAAAAGCGTACAACTGGTAGTAAATAATAATAAAAAATTCACATTTTTTTAATATGGTTGTTCTAACAAAACTAGCTCATGAATTGAAAAATTAAAAGCAAAAAACTATAAGATGGGAAACTTTTTAATTAACTAATTAAATTGAAAGCGCTTGGTGAGATTAATTCTAATAAATTAATTTAAAATAGCATATAAAGCATCCGGACGAAAAAAACAAATGAAAGACTAATAGAATGTATGAAAAAAATTACAACGATTGATTTAGAAGTTTCGAAAAAGTGAAATACAATAAAAAAAAGTATTATTTTTAAAAGAATAAAATTTTATTTAAATATAATTTAAATAATATTAATTTAATTAATAATGTAATTAATAAATCTTAAACCATTTAAATAACAAGAACAAAAATAATATAATTTTATAAAATTTAAGTATTGTCAAATCGAACTTTTCAACCTAGTCTACATTAAGATAGGTTAGAAATTTGGTTTATTTTGAATGGATGAATTTTAATATAATTATAAATAAAAATAATATATATATATATATATAATTTAAAAAAAATTATTTTTAAAATTTAAGTTATATTAATAAATTTAATTTTTATTTTAAATATAATAATTTAATATATAAATTAAAATATAAATCATTCATTTACTCACAAAAATATTCGTTAAAAACTTGATTTATTTTTAATTGTCATTCATCTTATAATAATATAATGGTTTAAAATAATAATTCATCTTAATAATTAAAGTTAAAATCAGACAAAAATTAAAATTTATTTTTATATTTTGTTTATCACTTATCAATTTAATTTATATTATATATTTTTAACAATTATTAATTTATAAAATACATAAACCTAAGGAATATTATCGAGATTAATTATATTTTTACACCCCAAATATAATCATTCTAGAAACTTACGGGTGAAAACAAAGTAATGGTATCTAAAGATATGACAAGAATTGCAGTTTGAGAGCGTCATGAATGAAACTTCATTTGAAGTACTTGAAGATATAATTTGTGGCCTTTATTAAAAACACGGAACTTCAATCTGATTTTCTATTTGTTTTCTGTAGCCGTTAATTTTCTCGTTGAACTTTGGCTTGGTTTTATCTGAAATGCCGACACATTATTTCATGACCTAATTTGCCCATAGAACCTCCTTTGCATGGAAGAGTCCGTGAATGGTTCCAAAGTTCCAGGACAAACTCAATAGTTGGGAATATATCAATGAATTATAAGATGGAGATGTACAATTTTTTATGGAATTTCATGTAAGCGTGAACTATCAATGTCATAGACACCTACATATAATTTTACAGTCACAATGATTAATGAAATTGATTTCTTAGGACTATGAAAATTAAATATCCCATTTTAAAAAAATTAGATAAACTGTTTTAACAAAATAATTACCAAACAAAATTTTTAATTTTTTAAACCTAACAGACTTAAAATTATTTTAAAAATTAATAAATAAATAAATAATAAAAAATATTTTTTCATCACAAAAAACATATCATCTATTTACCTACCTGTATTATTGTCATTAGAAAGAATAGATCATTAACAAGTGTTCGAAAACTGATACTCCAATCAATAAACTATTAGGATATTCTAATAATAATTACAAATAAATTATATTTATATTTGTCTATATAAATATATAAATATCAAATATATAAATACAAATATATTTATATTTTGATATATTTATATATTCATATATTTAATGGTTGGAGTATCGGTTTTCAACTCTAAGTATTGGGTTCGAATCCTATCCGTTACAATTTTATTAATTTGATATAATTTATCTATGGTTATTAATTTGATATAATTTATTTATGGATAGTAATTCCACAAGTAATTACTTACGGAATTACCCACAGATGACGGATAATATTCATAGGTAATGGATAACTTCATTTTAATTTGATATAATTTATCTACAGATAACAATTCCGTAAGTAATTACCTACGGAATTACCCACAGATGATATTACCTACGGAAAATATCCATAAATAATGAATAATTATCTTCATAGATAATGTACAATTTATTTACTGGATTTTTATTCGTAAGTAATATCTGTATGTAATGCATAATTTATCTACAAATTTTTATCTATAGGTAATATTTTGTACATAAAAAGTTTTTTTTAGTGAAGATATATAATATTAAAATGCATAAATTTTATAACAATTAACTTAATTTATTTTTTATATATTCCCGTTAGAGAAGGAACATGAGCAAAATTTTCTTAGGAATATATTAGAGTTTATTTTAATTTTACATAATAGTTAATTTTAATGATTAAGTTTTGTAAGGAGAATATAAAAGAATGAGACAATATCATTCACACATGAGTTTAAATTAATTTTAATGATAAATTTTTAAGAGAAATATAATAAGGAAAGACATCATCATTAATACATGAATCTAACTAATATAAGAATTGATATCTCGTAATTAAAAATTGTAAGATATTAAATTATGAGTTATGTTAATGCATATGTAAGTTGATGAAGACAATTAATATTGTTTCTGAAAATTTCACCGCTGATGACTGTAGAGAAAAGGAAGTGGTAGGACCAATTCCACTCCATTGCTCCTCCTTAAAGCTAACCCTAATCATTTACCCTTTCCATGCTCTCTTTTATAAATCATTTATACATTTATTACTATCAAAGTTTTAGCTTGCTATTCATACAAGCAAATGTCATTTTCTCTTCTTTCCCATCAATTCTGGTGCTTCATTTGCATCAATCATCACTCCCACTTAACTATATATATCATTTTACATATTAACATATTTTAAGACTACTTTTTTATGTAAAATTTAATTATATATATTGAAATTTATTCATTGATCTGTATCTGTTTAATATTTTAGTATTAGTTTATTAACAATGACGTTTTGCGTGAAATATGTATTTGTTAATATATAATATTACAGTTTATTTATATTTTAAAATATATTATAAGTTAAATTAAATTTTATTTAACGAACTATTAAATAAATTTTAAAATATAACTCATATAAGAAAAATTGACAATTACACTAATAAAATGTAATATAAATAAAGAGTTAATGAAGAAAATAACTTCACTAAAGTTTTAAGACAATTTGCTCTCTGACTAATTGTACTAAAGGTTAATATTTATTTATCTCTGACTAAATAATAAAAAAAACACATATATAAATAAATCTTTTATGCATAAAAGACTTTGATAAATGATAATTATGAATATATGGCATTGCCATAATTGAATGAAAGTTCAAATTAAAAATTAGTTCTTATATGACCGTTTAAAATATCATTTTGCGTTTTTTCTAATCATTCATATGTGATTTAATAGTTTATATTTATAATTATCATTTCATAAATTTAAGAAGAATTATCACTTAACGCTTTCTATAGTAATTTAAAAGTTTGTCAATGATTACAAAATAAATATTTAGTTTGTTATATTGAAAGTTAGTTGGCGTTTATGAACATTTTTAAACCTTAAATATTTAAATGTGTTTTAAATAGTTTATATTTATATTTATTATAATATTCACAAATTATTTATATATAATATTTTTATATGGACACACATTTATTTTATGCAG